GACATTGTTATCCCCATTTTATGGATGAACAAGTGAGACTCAGGGTGTCAGGTGCAATGCACTCAGGGTGGAGCTGGGACCCAAGCTCGGGCCTGTGACTCCAAGGCCTGAGCTATTGGGCTGAAACCTGAGCCACCTGGGCTGGCTTCCCAGCTCTGCCACTTATCTGTAGCCTCAGTTTCCTCACCTGTAAGACGATGCGAATGACACCCACCTCCCAGCGTTGTGGTGAGAATTACACGTGACAGTATTCACGAGGCAGCCAGGACAGTGCGCCCCGTGGGTTCCACCTGCTCCCCAGTTCTCCTGAGGCTCCAGAAGTCCCTGAGCTGGAGGAAGGCAGCCCTTCTTTCTTCTTTCCTGGCCAAGGGCACTATTTCATTGCTCCTACTGGGCTCACTTACGAGGATGGAAGGCCCCGGGTGAGAGGAGGTGATTAGTAACAGGGCAGCATCTTTGTGTGGGGAGCTCTTTTGACATAGTGTTTTTTGAGGGGGTGGGAGAGCAGGGAAACATGGAAAACCCACTCAACCCAATGCTATTTGAAATATGCCAATTTTAATGCAAATTCATTCTTGCATTCAAGAAATAAATACTGAGACATGGATCGTGTGCCATGCGCTGTTAGGCCCTGCGGATGCGATAGCAAGACAAACACAGCTTGTGTCTTCAAGGCGCTTCTAATCTCACATGGGGCTGAAACGTCAATCAGGGAGTCCCCTGAATCAATATAAAATTGTCCTGGTTCATGCTGCAGAGGAGAAGGTTGGGGTGCTCTGTGGGCCTGTGACAGGAAGGTTTGCCAGTTGGAGGGAAAAGTCGGAGTTAGGCAAGAGGAAGGAAGGAGCACGCCAGGCAGAGGGAGCAAGGCAGAGGATAAGCAGGGGGCAGGCCGGTTGGGTTTGGGGGGACCCCTCGGGAACTCGCAGTTCATGGTAAGGAGACTTTTGTCTTGAACCCAAGAGTGGTGGTGGGGGGGTCCATTGGAGGCTTTAAGTGGGGAATGGCATGATCAGATTTGTGTCTTGAAAGGCCACTCTGCTGTAGCTTGGAGAGTGGATTGGAGGGGAGCCACAGTGAATGTGGGGAGCCCTGGAGGCGGCTCTGCAGGGTGCAGGCAAGAGGGTGCAGGCATAGTTGGGTGTGGGTGGTGGGGCAGGGGCACAGCCAGGTCAGCCATGCCCACCGATACCCAGTGATGCCCAGTAATGACCACAGGTGCCCAGCAATGCCAAGTGATGCCAAGCGATGCCCCGGGGTGTTGGGCCTCTGTGGCCCCCGTTACCGCTGTCTGGGCAGTGGCTGGGAGGGACGTTCTCTCTCCCGTCTGCTTTCCCTCTCTGACTCTATAGCCTGTCCACACCGTGGACGTGGCCAGGGTAAGATTTCAAAGGAAGGAGCCGAGGTGTCCAGTTCCCGAGCCCAGGAGGCCTGTCTCATTCGCAGTGAGAGCGCGTGTTTATTTTCTGGAGGCCTGGCAGGGAGGGCGAGCTCCCCACTGTTCCTGCAGGCTTGGGCGCCACGGGAACGCTCCTGTCCCCCGTGCAAGGAGCCCCCAGAACTCCCCACTGGGGCCCAGGGTGTTTATGCCTGCAGCCCCAGGAAATCCGAGGGTTTCTCTTGGTTTATCACAAACACCCAGATGTTGGGGATCAAATTCTTATTTCCTGAGAGGATTCCAGAAATCCTCATGTGTTTTTGTTTTTTTCCTAGGTGACTTTGGAGGATTTTCTCCAAACTCTTTTACCTCTGAGGTTTTCCTGTCAGGCTAGGACCACACAGGAACTGACGGAAATCAGACCATTTGCCATGGAGTATTTGCCTCGCTGGGGAGAGGAATGGGTGTGAACTCATCACCTTTAGAAGTGGGAGCCGTCTTAGGGTGTCTTCCCTGGTCTGCAGCGGCCTGGGGCCTGCGGGCCGTGAGTTGCCGGCTCTTCCCGGCTCAGCTCGGCCCTGCCAGCCCAGCACCAGGGTGTCGGGTGGGCGTGAGCTCTGGCGGCAAAGCCTCAGGGAGCCCAGGTTGGCTCTGGATCCTGGGTTCTTCCTGAGACCTGAGGCTGGGGCCTGTCCCCGCGGCCCTCCCCACTTGGCTGCTCTGGCTGGCGTGGTTTTAAGGTCCCAGCAGCGTCTCTTGGGCTGGGGCGGGGAACAGGGGTGGGGGGTGGGGGTGGGGTCTCCAGGGCAACAGTCAAGGTCCACCTGTGGGAGGGGGAATCAGGCAAGGCAGGAGAATGACCTCCTCGCCTCATTCCAGCAGCCTCCTCCCTGGGCTCCAGGGGAAGCGGCTGCCCGGGGCTGGGAACTCGATCCTGGTGGGCCGCCCTGCTGAGGGGAGAGGGTGGGCTCCCCAGTGGAGCTCACTTTCTCAGCCTAAGTGGCGATAATGCTTCCTCAGCAGCAGCCTCAGAGCTGGGAGCGTAATGAGAGCGTGCGGGCTGACTGCTGGGTGAGAAGGCTCTCCCCTGAGAGGAGCTCTTAGCTCTGGCGTTAGAGCAGGGCCGATGGGGGGAGGCCAGGGTGGGCTTGGGCCTCCACTGATACCCTTGCCCGGAAGCAGGGCCTCCCAAGGGAGGCTGTATTTGCCTTGCTGTCTGTACCATGGTCCTCTTCTCCCTGCCTGTCTCACATTGGGGGCGGAGTGGGGTGTAGGAAGTGAGGAGGAGGGGCTGGGCTAAGGGATGCGTCCCAGTGTCCGCACAGTGGGGGCTGGTACGGAAGCGTGAGAAGGGAGATGTACAAACGTGGGGGCATCAAGAGATCAGAGGTCCTCCCCCCAACCCCCCCTCACCACGCCTTAGTGGGAGTTTTATCCTCAGGGCTTCCTGAGTTCCATTTTGAGCCCTGCCTCCTTCAGACAAGTCTTAGTGTTTGCCTTTGCCTCAGTTTTGCCATCTGTGAAATGGGAATAATTATCATACTCAATCACCTTATATACCATGGTTGCTATGAGGAGGAATGAGTGAGTGATTGTAAAATTTATCAGTTTTCATGACCTTTGCCTGAGGAATTCCATTTCTAGGAATGTGTCTCTCCCAAATACCCACTGAGCTTTATGCAGTATTGCTTATAATTAGACAGTATCAAAACAGCCCTGGGGTTCCAGTCACAGGGACCCAGGGAATGGTCCAGTTACTTGTAGCCAAATGAAGGGACACTACGTGGCCAGGCAAAGTCTCCAGTGGAGAATGCGCAGGGTATGGCATTATAGAGGGAGGGGGTAACGTTTATGCCTCGTTCATCCTCTTACCTTCAGAACCTTGCAAAATGCTTTGCGGATAGTAAGTCTTCCATAAACGGTTGTTGAATTATCTCAACTATATAAAAATTGCATCTCATGAAAGCAGGCTTGGGAGAAAATATTTCAGAATGCTAACAGGAGCTATTTCGCAGTGATGGGATGATGTGTGATTTTCATTTTTTTCTTTATTCTTCAGGAAGTTGGAAAAAATTCAGTGATGAACATATTACTCTTATTTTTAGATGCAATAACTTAAATGTTATGTTGGCTTATAAAAATATAGAAGTCTTTTTAAAAAATTAAAGCAATGCAAAAAAATAAAATAAAGAAACTTAAGATCACTTCGAGTCGCCCCACTTAGCAGTCACAGCCATGAATATGTGGCATGCAGCCCTCAGCTCATTCTTTGCACATACCTGTATTGACGTGTGTGTGTTTCTACATAAGCAAGATTGTAGAAAATGGGTGTCTCATAAACCTTTTCCACATTCGGTATCTTGCACCTTTCCTTGTATCATTTTGAATGGCTGCGTGGCGTTCAGTTTCACGGATGTGCTGGATTCAACTAAGCCATGCTCTGTTGACGTGCATTTAAGTCGCTTCACATTTTGCTCTTCTAATCAATGCTGCCATACCTTTATAATAAATAACAATAAAGAACCCAGATATGCCTTGCGGTTTCTGGCTTCGGGATGAGAGTTTCAGCCCAGAGGAAGGCAGCCAGCCCTGCTTGGGGAGGGAACTGATTTTAAAGAGCTCCACGACGATGTTCTCAACATTTGCAGACTGGTCCCCTTGCAGCAGGAGCGGGTGGGGGTCTAACACCAGTGAGGCTCAGAATATTTAGTTGAGTAAAAAAAAAAAAAGACCTTTAAATTGAAAAGAGCCGTCTCACGTGGAGAAGGCTTCCTCAGCGCATTGGGGATGGCGAGGTGGCTGGTCTGGGGCTTTCATCAGTGGCTGTGTCGGCTTGGGGCGGCCGCAGGCCCTCTGAGAGATGCTGTTAGCAAAGAGACCAGAAATAGGGAGTGAGTTTTTCAGCTGCTCTTAAGGACCAGGAGCCAGGCCCAAGGGAAGCGCAGAGAAGCCATGTCTTTCAGCTTGTCAGCTTGGAGAGACAGCCTGGTCTGGTAGAAAAAGCCTGGTCCTGAGGGTCAGATGGGCGTGGGTTCAGATCCCTGCTCTCATTTACCAACTGGTGGCCTCAGGAAGGCACCTAGCCTCCTAGAGCTACTCTTCTCTATGAGATGGACACAGTAACTATCAATGCTTTCCCACCTTGCCTGAGGATGTCAGTAAAGCCCAGTTCCTGGAGCATGTGGAAAAGGAATTCATGTGTTTTTTAATTTTTTAATTTTGGGGTATGTGTTATTGATCTTAGTGGAAGCAAATCTAGAGTACCACCCAGACCAAACACTTCCTACACACCTGTGGGACAGGGAACTCACTCTTTCTCAAAGTAGCTTGGACTCGGGTTGAGTTCATGGCTGTACCTGGAACTTCTGACCGCAGTTGGTGGAGTGAGAAGATTGGGCTGCAGGTGAACACGGGGTCCTGTTGTTCTGGCTGGTTGGATGTCTGCTGCAAAGAGCCCCCAGTTTATTGGGCCTTGAGACAGACTTGGGGTCCCCAGCTTAGCTGGGAAACCCCTAACCCCATTGATGAGATGATTGGCTTGATCCAGGCAGGGAGGGGGCCTGGAGCTGAGCCCCTGGCCTGGGCCCACCTCACCGCTTGCTTTTCTCCTTCCCTCCGCCAGGGAGCTCAACGGCAACAACATCACCCGGATCCATAAGAATGACTTTGCAGGGCTGAAGCAGCTGCGAGTGCTGTGAGTATGGGGTGCTGCCCCGCTCTTGACCTCCCTCCCACCCCCACCCCGGCAATGCCGTGGGAGTCCTAGGCAGAGCCCTGGCTGTGGGGGTAGGGCGGAGGTAGGGCTAGCTGGGCCCTTCCACTGTGGAGTCAGTCTCGGGACACCCTGACAGGGTTAGAGGGGGGTGATGTTGAGTCCTGACCCAGAGCGGCCACTGCCTCCCACTGAAAAATCGAGCATGGTGTGGGGCCTGGGCTGGGCAGGTTGGCTATTAACTGTCTCCTGGGGGTGAGGGAAAACCAGGTGGCCGTGCAGAATCTTTAGGTCTCCGTACTGGTCTTTGTGGGCTGCTGTAACAAAATACCATAGACAGGGTGGCCTCAACAACAGACACAGTTCTGCAGCTGGAAGTCCCAGATCGAGGTGTCGGCAGCGTTGGTTCCTAGGAGGTGAGGGCTCTCTTCCTGGCTTGCAGAGGGCCGCCTTCCCACTGTGTCTTCACGCGGCCTTTCCTCTGTGTGCCAGCAGAGAGAGAGCTCTGGCATTTCTTCCTCTTCTTATAATGTCACCAGACCTATTGGATTAGGGCTTCACGCTTCTGTCACCACTGTACCTTATCTGTCTCCCTAAGGGCCTGTCTCCAGATGCGGTCACACTGGAGGTTAGGGCTGCAGCATGTGCATTGTGGGGGACACATGCCAGTCTATAACAGTCTGCGTAGTTCTTATGAACCTGTGCCCCAGAAAGACTCCCCAGCAAGGCCACAGCCCCCCAATTTGAGAGAGAGGTGGGTGGGGCAGTTGAGGACAGAATGGACTCCCTAGGTGCCTGATAGTGGCAGACGCTGGAGGTGGCCGCACCGCTGTGGGGCTTGACTACTTGCTGGCTGGCAGTGGAGCTGCCCATGGCACCTGCCTCGTCAGGCTGGGCTGGGGCGAGGAGTGACAGGAAGGACCCCTTATCACCCCCTGTTCTGCCGATCTCAGGGTGCAGAAACAGCAACAGCATGTGTTCTTTCTGATGTAGGAATGGCCCAGCCCACAAACTCAGGAGTATAGGAGGAATTGCATTTTTTCCTTTTCTCTGCATCAAGTCAATTTTGACTCTGAGCTCATCTCACCTGGCTGGCAGGAAATCCAACATCAGACAATCATATGGTCCCTCACTCTGTTCTCCCAGGGTAGTGCAAGGGTCCTGGGGCCTCTGTTCTTTGAGAACTACAGGCTCTGCAGTTCCAGGGTCTTTGGAGAAGCTGGGGATTTTGTGGCCAATCTACTCTGAGATCAGAGCTAACCAATTGCTGGGCAAGGATATGCTGCCCCAGAACCTACTGACCTCTGACCCCTTGAGAGTCGGGGGAAGCTCCCCTCTCTCCTGGTGTCCCCCTCCCTTCTCCCGCTAGGCCTCCAGTGGAAGCTCCTTCACACACCAGGCTTTGGGGAACAAAGTGGAGAAAGAGAAGTGTCTGGTGGCAGCTCTGCCCCTGCCCTGCCCTGCCCTGCCCCAAGCCTGTCTGAGGCCCACGTGGGGCGCATAAGCCGCCTGCTTGAGTGGAGAGGGGAAAACGCAGGAGGAAAACAGGCCGTCTCAAAGATTACCATACAACAGCCATCTACTGGTGAAACGTGCTGCCCACCAGCCGGATGCTCGGGGTTTCAGGGCACGTTGGCAGTGAGGAGACGCAGAGTCCCATGGAGCCAGGTGGTTCCGTTGTCGCGGGCACCCCACTCTTTTCTTCGGCAGATGGGGCCAGGCAGAGTGGGGGTGCAGGCAGGAGAGGGTGTTGTCTGCCCACTGCAGAGGGTGTTCGCTGCATGTGTGGGCTCTGCCCACTTGGCACGGGCTCCCCTCCCCCTGACACTGGCTGATCCCCTGCTCTGTCCCTTGGACACGTGCCTCCCGGGCTGAAGGAAGCCAGGGCATGTGTGCCAGCAGCCCAGAGCCAGCCCCGTGCTGCCTGCTGCCGGTCCCGGCGTCCCCGAGAGTGCCTTCGGAGCTCCGGCCTGGCACTCTGCTGCCCCGCTGCCTTCTGCCGTGGCCGTGGCCTCACAGGGTTGGCGTGGCAGAGGCTGGAAGCTCGTCTTGCTGCTAGGCTGGGTGTGCCCAGAGCCTGCGTGGGGGGAATTTGCAAAGTTGGGAGGAAATTTTGTGCACTGAGGCTAGGACATGGGTCAGTAGGAGGTTCGGGCACGGCTCCTGTCTCACTCCCTCGCCAATGCTGCCCTGGAAGACTTTGCCTCTGTCCCCCCTCGTGCCAGCTGTTCCTAGCAGTCCTTGTCCCCCACGCTGTAGCTGTCCTGTCTCTTTGCTCCCCAGGCAGCTGATGGAGAATCAGATTGGAGCGGTGGAGCGGGGGGCCTTCGACGACATGAAGGAGCTGGAGCGGCTGTGAGTACTGGCGGGCGGGCAGGCTCAGGAGGGCGGTGGGGCTGGCACCGGGAGGGTGACGCAGGTGGGAGCGGGGGTTCTCAGAGGAGGGACCTCACGCCCAGCCTGCCCCTGCCTGTGGACGGAGCCGGGAACAGCCGCAGCCGTGGGCGTGGTCACAGGGCACGGCGAGATGGTGGCACAGTGAAGCCTGGAGAGTGTCCTCACCCCACATTCTCAGTGCATCTGTCTTTGTTGTTTTCCCTGAAAATACATAAAGGCGAAAACTCACACAATAAAAAGGAAGTAAAATTTCTGTCATCTCAATCCGAGACATAGCCATGGTTCACTGATTTGCGTGTCCTTAAAGAAAGGCCCTGGTGTGCCTGGGGCAGCCATCAGGGAAGCCCCAGGGGCCACCAGAGGGTGGTGTCTTGGGTGCTCAGGGCTGCAGCACAGAAACAGGAGGGTGGTGGCACGTCCTGATTTGCCCGATTTAACGGCTTTCAAGTTTGAAATTGGGTCTTGACCAATTATTGCATTTCGGATTGGCAACCGGGGAAAAATAGGAATGTGGTGGGGGGAGGAAGAGGATGGGCACTCACATGCATGCTGGTCACTAGTCTCGTCCTTTTGCAAAGTGCTTTGGCTGTAGGCGTCAAGAGTCTGAAAGTTCATGCTCTTTGAACCAGAAAGCCCATTTTATTTTAAGAAAATAATTAGAGACGTAGATAAACTATTTATCAGGATATTCATTGCACATCATTTAATACAAAAAAAATTGGAAATAGCCATTCTGGTTGAGATGTAAGATATAAAATCACATTTTGAAGGATAGTGAAGGTCATGGAAATATGTTCACGACATAATGTTAAGTGGAAAAGGTAGGAAGTGACATTTGTATAAATAAAAACAATTTGTATGAGGATAGAATACAGGAGGAAGAAGACAACTGAGACCATTAACTCTCTTATAGTGAGTGGCGGGAACAGGTAGTTAGGTAACTTTAATTTTATTCCTTGCGTTTTTCTTCTTTTATGGATTTTCTTACAATGAGCTTATAATTATAATTATATGTGTGCTTTACTGTATGCCAGGCACTGAGGTAAACTCTTTGCCTTACAGTATCTCATTTAATCCTTAAAACAACAGTGCTGTTAGTGGTATTTCCCAGATGGGAAGTAGAGGTGCACAGAGGTTAACCACAATCATGCAGAAGAGGAGATTAGAACCTGGATCATTTTGCCTTTCAAAGTCTGGGCTCATTTTAGTGACTATGACCTAATACCTCATCTTTCACTTTTATATCAAAGAAAATAAGGCCAGGCACAGTGGCTCACGCCTGTACTCCTTGCACTTTGAGAGGCCAAGGTGGGAGGCGGGGAGGATTGCTTGAGGTCAGGAGTTGGAGACCAGCCTGAGCAATAGCAAGACCTGTGTCTACAAAAAAAAAATTAGTCTCACATAGTGGTGCGTGCCTGTAGTCCTATCTTCTTGGAAGGCTGAGGCAGGAGGATCGCTTCAGCCCAGGAGTTTGAGGCTGCAGTGAGCTATGACGACGACACTGCATTCTAGCCTGGGCGACACAGCAAGACTGTCTCTAAATAAATACATACATACATACATGCATATATACATACATAAAAAATATACATATGGTTGCCATGTTGCCCTTCTGCAGCCTGGAAGAAAATCAAGGCAGTCTTTCTTTTGTGTCTCTCATCCAGGCCTGAAACTGAGTGATGAGGAGCCCACAGCCATACAGCATGTTTAGGGCTGTGTTGTTTTCTTTCAAAGGCTTAGAACAGAATCCGTACCGATGACCCCACTACGAGGGGCTGATTTGGGCCTAACCCATTCCAGCTCCAGTGCTGGTGCTGCCTCGCCTTGAGGAGAAAAGGTGGGCGGGGGTTAGGGGTCCAGATGTGCCCAGGGTGGTCCCTGTCATGCCTGCTGCTGCCACCCGTGCCTTGGCAGAGTCCTCCTTTTTGAGTCATGACTTGTCACCACAGACTTTGTCCTTTCTGTCCTTTTCCAGCTCCTTATTTCACAGCAGGTCACCAGCACTTGTTGGAGACAGTGTGGGTCATAAAAATTGGTAAAAGTGGGGAGTCATAAAAAATTATGCATACTCCAAATGTTTCATTTTAGGTTAAAACATATAAATGTGTATTTATTTACCCCCCCCTTCTTTTTTGACCCTTTTTGTTGGCCGAGGCCTTTCTTTTTAGTGTGAGACCCTGATTAGAGTTCTGTATTGTTTTCCTCGCCTAAACCTCGCACATGTACCTTGTTTATGATTTTTGGTTTTGGTTTCTTGAAGGTGGAGTGAGCTTTATTAAAGGCCCTTGGAAGCAATCTGGGTGGAGAATTCTGGATTTTTAAAAAATGACACCTCCTCTCCCACCTCCCTTGTCTTTTATTTGATTTAACAGCCCTTTCACTAATAGCTTTGCTTTTATCACATCTTTCCAAGACATTCTACTTAGTTTTCATAGAGACGACTCCTTTTTCCACTAGTAGTGCATTCATTTATGCAATAGTCAGTTAGGTAGTTGGAATCCCGGGTGCCTCTGCCCTAAACAGGAATGGACATGGCTGGTTCTTGTAAGCAGTGACAGACCCAAGGACGGAAGCAGCAGTGCATGGTCCCATGGGCTGTGGGGAATCGGCATACCCTGCCGCTAGGCAGCAGCTGGGAGGCGGTGGGCAGCTGAGGTCCCTGCGGGCTGGCTGGGTGAGGTTGGTGACGTATTATGAGGGTGGCCAGGACGGGGAGGAGGGAGAGGCAGGCTGCGGGATCCCACATCTACCACTCAGCGATGCCTTGGGCGAGTCACTTACCTCTTGGCACCCTGAGTCCCTTATCTGTCAAAGAAGAACAATTCAACAAAGTCAGAAAACATATCTTGGGCACCGACTAAGAACCAAGCCATGTGGCGAGATGGTGGCAGTAAAACCTTCCAGAGGGTGGGGCTGTTGCAAGGAGAGCGGAGGTGTGAGCGTGCATGTCAGGCACTGTGGCCTCGGCCAAGAGAAAGAAGCCCACCTTTCGCTCCACTTTCCCTCTGACGGTGAGGTCATAGTAAGGGCTAACCATGACTGGTGGCCGCTACTACTAATGTCCTAAATTACCTGCCTGTCACTCACCAGGCTGGGTTTCTTTCTTCTTTGGTGTCCTTTGATTTTCCACTTTAAACCAGGCATGGCATACCTTTTCCTCCTAAATGCTTTTCAGAAATTGAAGCCAGAAAAATGAGAAAGTCTTGTGGGGGAACAAAAACAAAACCAACCCAGTGGTTACCAGACAGAATAAATACAGGATTAATTTATTGGACTGAGGTTAAGGAACTCAGAGCTATCTGGTGTCTACTCCTGTTGCTTTAAGGATTATATTGATGGTCCCCCTTTTTCTCCCCCAAGGCAATGATGTGTTTCCCTAGGATCCACCCTTAAAAATAAACTTCTTCCAGCTGGTCTGCTGAGGTTGTAAATGTGATTGTCTGTACTGTGCTGGAACAAGGTGGTGCCCAATGTGGTGGCCATGACCTTTCTCACAGATCAGACGAAGGATGACCTTGCAGGAGGTAACCACAGACCAATTACTGCTGGATACATAGAATTAAGTTTTTTTCCCTTTCCCTGCAAAAGAAAGTTTTTGCTAAGGTGGTTTATCATATAGCTGTCCCTCAGTGTCCATGGGGAATTGGTTTTAATACCTCTTTGGATACCCAAATCCTTGAATCCTGCAGTCTCTTGTATGAAATGGCATAGTTTTTGCGTATCACCTATGCACATCCTCCTGTACACATTGCATCATCTCTAGATGGGTCAGTGACTGGGGCCATGTTTCACATCAGCACCCTCCTAGCCTTACCGGGCACACGAGTCACTCGGGGATCTTGTTGATGTGCAGACTGTGACTCAGCAGCCTTGGGGTGGAGCCTCAGATGTCCCAGCTCTTACCAGCACCCAGCAGGCGGTGCCCTGCTGGTGGCCCGCGGACCAAGGTTCTGTACTTTGTGGGTGTCACCCCCACTCTCCCTCGATGCACTGAGCCGCTGTGGAGTAAAGGCCAAAAAGTAATTGCTCAATTTTAATGTTGTCTATTATAGTTGTTAAAAATTTCCATAATTTCCCTTGCTACATCCTAGGCTCTGGTGTCAAGGAATTAGTTGCCTAAGGGACGTGAGATGAGTCTGGTTAAACTTAGCCGCCCCCCTAGGACAAGTCTGGGTTCTTTCTTCACTGTGTTTTCTTGTCAGGTCATATTCCTGGCAAATATGCCAGAACCAGACTCTCACTCCTGCCTGGGTTCATAGTACTGAAAAGATGACTGCTCACCAAGAGGGAAATTAAACATCATGGACACTCTATTCAGTCATTAAAAATAAAGGGGCCATTCTCTATTGTTGGGCGTGGAAAGGTGACCACAGACTGTTGAGGAAGAAAAATGCAGGTGGTCAGGTACTTTTTCTCCTATTATTTGAGGCTTCCTTTTCTATAAACATGCATTTTTATTACATTGATAAAAGAGTCAATAAAGTGATTTTATTCTGTAAAAAGACCCAAAGCAAACAAACAAAAAGGCTACACCACTGCTGAGCCCAGCGTGGGTGCAGGCAACTGGGAATGCGGGCGGCATGGCCAGTCCTGCCACGTTAGGGTGTAGCTGACGTCTCACGTGTACTCAGGTGTCTAACCCACAAGCCGAGCGTGTCGGAGTCGGGGCCCCGTGAATGACACAGGGCTTGCAAGTGCGAAGCGATGATGACGATGGGTGTGGACATCGACTTGGTCAGGGGCTCTCACAGGTACTCTGTTCTCATCCTGCCCGAGTGCTGGGTGGCAGAATTTCCTCTTTGTAGATGGAGAAACCAAGGCCCAGAAAAGGTAATTTTCCTGGGATTACGCGCTGACCCTGTTAGGATTTGAACCTCTGACTCTGAATCCGGTGCTTTCCGAGAAGGGCTCGGGCTTTCCTGGATGTCCAGGCAATTTCCAATTCTTCTCTTCTCTTTTTCAGGCGACTGAACCGGAACCAGCTGCACATGTTACCAGAACTGCTGTTCCAGAATAACCAGGCTCTGTCGAGACTGTGAGTGATGCTCTGTGGCCAGAAAGTTCCCTCTGTGGTTTTATCTCCACTCTGTGGTGGGGGCAGTGCTTGGTCAGCGGGGCCTGGACGTTCCCGTGGCCCCCACGCTCCTGCCCTGGCAGGAATGGTTCCGGGCGTCAAAGGCCAGGCCCTTTCTGCAGGAAGGAGCTGTGCAGGGCCTTTCTCCACGGCAAGCACTTGAAAGAATCCACAGTTCATCCAAATTCCTAGCTGATGTGGACAGCGTGGGCACCAGGGTGTCCGGGGGTGGGCACACTTGTTGACAGTGATGCCAGCCTTTCCCGGGGCTGTTCTTGTGCAACTCTCACTGCCTTTGGTAACCTGCCTTGGGCCGAATATTTATTCACTCAACTAAGCCCTTCTTACACCTATTTCTATTTTCAGCTTATTCTGCCTTTTAGGGTAATGCAGACTATAAGGTTATTAATCATGGTGTAAAATCGTATTTTTATTTGCTGTCAATGTGCTTCTTTCAAGTTTAAAGGATAGCTGCTAGTTCTCCCGCTCCGTGATTTGCCAAATGTGTCTGAATTGTTTCCCCAGGTATTTTGTTTGATGGGATCTTGGCTTGGACAGGAACTTCGAGATCATCCAAGGAATCTCTTCTGCAGCTCCTTAGCATGTAGTCCTGTAGTCTTTGCTTGGCTACCTCTAGTGATGGGGAGTTCACCACCTCCCCCGGCAACCAATTCCATTGTTAGACAAATCAGCAACTTAGAAGATTCTCTTTAACTTTGAGCTCTAAATTTGCCTTCTAATAACTTAATGTTTTTCTTAGCTTTGCTTTCTGTAACTACCTAGAACCACCATATATTCTTGTTAGGTTTTTGAAGGGCTGTCAGGTTTTAGAATGTTGAGTTGGGAGGCTTTTGAATCCCCTTAATTGTTCTTAACCTAAGAACCACTGGCTGAGACCTTCTGCGTGCTCAGTGAGGCCCTGTGGTTCTTCCTTGATAGGGGCTTACAGGACAGCACAGGTAGAGAAGAGGCAATGAGCAGTGCAGGTGGGACTGAGGGGCGGTGGGATTGAGGACTGCAGGTGGGGGATGGCAACCTCAGGCTGCCCGAGTGCTCTGTGGGCCTGACTATGGGAATCTGGGGCTTGATCTCCTCCCCTCTGATTAAACACAGCCAGTCCTTCCCACTTCTTGGGATATCTGACCTCTCTCTAAGCCCAGTGGTCTCCAGGCATCTCCAGAATTTGTTGTTGATCTTGCCTTCAAGCTTTTGTCTTTACAATGGATCTCTAATTTTTAGTCTGTCCAATGGTCTGTCACTTCCTCCTCCTGGCCTGGAGACCACTCCACTGTGACCTGCAAGGATGATTCCTTTTGCAGGTCTTTGCCACCACCTTGGGCTTGAGTTGGGCCTTCTCATCCAGTCCGCCTGTAACTGGTATGTTGACCTTTTCATTTGATGCCAGGCACACACAGTGGGGGCTTTATTTTTCCTTACTTGACTGCTAAGGCGCAAGACCCTTCCCAGCAGATGCACCCATGCAACGTCTGTTGGACCTGGGGTCTGCATGGTGGTCCCCATGGTCCATGCTCTTACTGGCCACAGGCAAGCCGCTGGCCTTGCCTGGCCTTGGCCGCAGCAGCTCCATTTTCTCCCCCTGTCCTTTTTCTGCTGGCTTTTGCAAGGGTTATCACAGCTCTACCTTTCTGCAAAAATTCATCTTGAACATCTTTCCTCTTGGTTTCAATTCTGCAGTTTCCAAGCCTCCTTCTCCTGAGCCCTCTTAGCTTTTCATGATTTCCCTCCCACTCCTGGCATCATTTGCCTGCCTGGGTCCCTTCTCCCTCCCATATTGACCCACTGCCCTCCACCATCCAGGGATCGGAGCATATGCATATTGCACGATTGCCGTGCAGCTCTGGGTGCTGCCTTTGACTCTCCCCGATTGATTTTAAAATGTCAAAGATCCTTCATGTGAGCAAATCCACCACTGCCAGCCCTTTGCTTGAGATCATCTGCAGCCATATTCACTTTTATGGGGGCAAGATCTTCTGCTGTAGCCTTCCACCAGCCCCTGGGGGTGAAAAGGCGTGGAGCTCTATAGGGAAGTCTCCTTTAGGCATATGAGGCCACCTCTCACCAGGGACATTGGTGCCTGCATGTCCCTGGGCTCTCTCCTGAGAGGAGCCAATGTGGCTGCCTACTTGTCCTGTGTCTGGGGAACTTGGATCCCTAGAAGAATGGGAGGTGGCCTGGAGAGTAGAAAATCAAAGGTCAGTTGGTCCTGGGCTTTCCAAAGTATAAGTTAGGGTGGTTTGAAGCTTCCGAGCCTACTCTTCTTACCCAGGCACTGTAGCACTACCAGGAGGCTGAGCTAAGACTGCATGTAACACATGCGGCCTGCGGCTGGTTGCAGGGCATGTCCGCTGTCCCTGATATCCCAGGGTGAGCGGATGGCCCTGCAGTGGAGCTGGTGCTCCTGTGCATGGTGTCTGGTCTGACTTGTGGGACTCTGTGGGGCAGCAGTGTCCCCCAGTGTTGCTGCCAAGGAGCCAGGTTGGAAAGGTGAAGCGACTTTCTCAGAGTCAGTACGAAGCCCCTCTGACCCCTAGCCCTGCATTCTGCATGGTTTCATATTTTAACAAGAGTCCTAGAGAAAAGGACTTCTGTGCTTTAACGAGTATTAAATAAAGCCATTGAAGAGGACAGGAGTCTGGGTGACACTTGCTCTTGGGACCCTACAGGGTTGGGAGCCAGGGCAAGGGAGTGGCCTCCAGACAGGTTAGATATTCTCTGCCTGGTGGTCCTGGGCTGGCTGCGTTGGGGAGGGGCCCATTGGCAGCCAACAGAGGGACTTCCAGAAGAAGGGCCCTCCCAGGGGAAGTCTTGTGGCCCTTTGGGGAATATTTCCAGACTCTAGAGCCAGAACTTCCCCCTAACACTTACTGCCCTTTCTTTCCAGGCATTGGGTCCCTAACTCTTGGCAGGAAATGTTCCTTATCCAAGAGCAAAGCTGGCTGCGGGTGAGGGGAGGCTGTTTTCTTTAGCTCTCCTCTCGACGTTTCTTGATCTGGTCTGTAAGCAGGTGTGCAGGCTGGGAGGACTCGGGGAAGACTCCCACACCGCACGCCCTGCTTGCGGCAGCCCAAGACTTGGGTTCACCGCTGAGGCAGTGCAGGCGCCCCTCCAGGGCGGGCCGTCTCACAGAGGACACAGTCTGGGGAAATGATTAGACCAACCTTTTCATTAATCTGGTTGGCTGTCCCTGGTGCTGGGGCTCACTGAGTTTTTCACCTTGGATGTGGTGACAGGGAAAGACACTGGAGCAAGTGTTTAAAGATCTGTTCGCTGATATTCCTTGCCCCACCTCCGCCCTGTTCTGCTGACTTGAGCGTCTGGCGTTCCCAGACATCTCTGTTAACTCCCCCGGTTGGTCTGGCCGGGAGGAGCTTGTGGGTACGCGGGCACGCTTGGTTCCAGCGACAGAAGCCCGCAGGCTGGTGAGATGGCGAGGGTGGAGGTGGGTTGTGTGGGCACAGCCAGCAGGCGCGGGCTCCCCGACAGGAAGCGACGCCCCGCCGGCCCTCAAGGGGCCTGGACTGAGACTCGAGGGACGTTTCTGGTTCTTTCTGAATTTCCACCTTGCTGTTCCTTCCTGCAAACCAGTGTCCTGGCCTCATGGGCAGCGTCTCTGCTCCATCGTGACTCGGGTGACATGGTGCTGACGCGCCTCCCACTTCCTGTGACCGCAGGGCTCAGATCCCACAGTGTCTTGGCCCACTGCAGGTTCTGGGAGAGAGAGTCTGGCCCATCGTAGCTCAGGAGGTCGCCCCTGGGCCGGTGAGCCGTGTCAGGCTCTGCGATTAGGGTGCAGTGACGCTCAGGAGCTGGAGGTGGGCCACTCCCTCAAAAGGCAGTGCCTGGCAGCCCTGCTCTCTCCCCTGGTGACCTTCTGCTTTGGAGGGATCTGGCACTAATCCTTCCCATCTGGAGCACGCTATGGACTCTCATGCAGAGGCGGTTATGCTAAATCAGCATGAAAACGGGCTTGAGGGAGGCCACGTGTGCTGGGTAAGGTGTAGTCACCAAGCATATAGGTGGTGCGGCCCAGGTTTCGGTGGATCTTGTCTGTGTAGCCTCCAGAAGTTAAAATCTGCTCACAGGTTATTCTTCACTACTACTATAATACTTCCCTGGTGTTGCGTTAGTCTGTCCGTTTCTTTTCATACTCAGGATCTATGGCTCGGGGAGGTGATTTGCTTTGGACCCCAGAGCAGCGTGATGCTAGAGTTGGAATTGGATACCAGGCCTTCCAGGGTCCTAAAGAGCCTGAAGATGGGTTTAAACCTTGACGTAGAAATCTCATGTTTGGGGATCTTCCCTAAGGAAATAATAAAACATGAGCACAAACTTGTCCATTGGGACATTATTTAGAATATTGAAAAGAAAGTGGAAATAACCTGAATGTCCACCACTGGCGGCATGGTTAAGAAAATTATGATGTATCTACCTGATGGAATATTTATGCAGTCATCAAAAATGGCCTCTAGGAAAGATGTCAAGTAATGCAGATAAATGTTCGTGGTATCAAGAGCCAGGATGCAAAATTGCACGATTGCTAAATAAATCATTCTAAATAATGATGAAAAATGACGGTAGAATGCCAACAGGGGTTGTCTGGGGGCGACTTTTTTCTTTTCTGTGTTTCCCAGATGTTCTCTAAGAAGCACATATTAGTTTTATGGTAGGAGGCCTCCCAGTTTTTTGTGAGGGATGGAAAGCCGCTGTAGTAGGAGTTAAAACGGATGCAGGTTACGGTTACATGATGTTGCAGCATTTCCTTTAACTCTTCGATGCCCGTTTGCGCTTCTCTGAGATAAAGATGATAAGATAATAATAGCCACCTCACAGGGCTGATGTGAGCATTAAAGAGAGGTGTGGCCTTCTCTCGTGTCAGACGGGCACATTGCGGCGCAAGGGAGGTGCCCAGGAAGTGTCGCGTGGGCCCACACTGGACCTGC